CCTAAATATGAGTAGAATGAAGGTATTCACTTAACAGGCTATTGAATGTCCTTTGGACAGTTTAAAGATCGGGACAGGTAAGACTGGGGCATTCATCATTCTAAGCAGTAGCTTTCACTTCATTTATCCATTACCCATGGTACTACAGTGATAAAATATATATATATAATTTTATTTACATCAAAATAAACATATATACCTACCAATATATATGCATATGTAACTAAGTTTTACCAAATAATACTTACTCAATATGTTTTCTGTTCTTACCAAAATTCTTTCCTTTTCATTTTTTTCAACACCAGTCATTGTCATTTAACTGATTTCATGTGAAGAGCAAAAACCCAGTCTGAAAAACACAGGTCCCTGAGGCAATCTTATCCTGGAATGCCGGGACCGGGGCAGAATCCAAACCCTGTTGCTTTGGGGACGGTCTGCCCTGTGTCTCAGGAGTCATCTAGAGGAAGGGGAAAGGAAAATACAGACAGACCCAGACCCTGCCCTGGGTAAACCAAAGCTGCTTGGCAATTATCTTGGCATTTCACATAAGATTTAATCTACAGGCAGGGGGCAAAAAAAGTTCTCAGTTAAAAAAATCAAGTTTCAAATCACTGAGTTAGATTACCTTTCCGGGTCCCCTTCCAATGTGTGAGCCTAGAGATAAGTATTAATTCCAAACTATAAACTAAACCACAAATCACTATAGAATCAAAACCATATCATTAGATCACAAAAACTTTAATAGTCAAAGCTTTATAATTTATGTTAGAATTTCTCAGCATACTGTCTCAATTAAAAGTGCTCATGGCCAGGTGCAGTGGCTCATGCCTGTAATCCCAGCACTTTGGGAGGCCAAGGCAGGCAGATCACCTGAGGTCAGGAGTTTGAGACCAGCCTGGCCAACATGATGAAACCCCATGTCTACTAAAACTACAAAAAATAGCCAGGCATGGTGGCAGGTGCCTGTAATCTCAGCTACTTGGGAGGCTGAAGCAGGAGAATCGCTTGAACCTGGGAGGCGGAGCTTGCAGTGAGCTGAAATCCGGCCACTGCACTCCAGCCCGGGCGACAGAGCAAGACTCCGTCTCAAAAAAAAAAAAAAATTTTTTTTAAAGTCCTGAAGGCACCTGAGCCTCCCCTCAAATTCCCTCCCCATCCTGCAGAAGCAACCCTCCAAGACTTCTCCCTTACTAAAATTACACTCTTCTTATAGTCTTATTAATAAAACAATGTTAATATTTGCTAAATGTAACACATTACCAAGTAAACACACTAAGGCACGCCAATTACTAGGTTCCTTGGACAGTGGTCTATTTGAACAAATTGATGTTCTTAAACCAAAAACTCAGCAGCTTTTTTCATTCATAAAAACATGTATCTTCCCGCTGGAATTACCTCCAGCCAAAATATACCGAGTTGGGTGCATGGCATTGATGGAACACACAGAGACAAGGCATTCTCCACCAAACGAATGCACCCTCTTTCCTGTCTCATGGAAGATTTCTACCCGTCGTGGATGGGCCATGCTGCCGACTATGACACAGTCTTCTTGTTTAGGATCCCACATGGCTTGGAACCTGGTCAGCCATCGCCCAGTGAAAGTGTTGTGCCTAGTGAGGAAAACAATATATTTTTTAAATGAAGTAAGGTTAAATAAGGTAGCACTGGGCAGAGGGTAAAGATGGCATTGCTCCTAAATGCTAGTTTTTTCTGCTAAGTTTCTTCTCATTAAGTTACTGAGTTACCACCAACCTTATCTCATCCTATCTACAGAACTGAACCTCTGGACAGAGACGATATCCTCCTCATCCAAAAATCTCCCAAAATAAAACATACGGAGTCCTTTATAGTACTCAAAAGCAAAAACACAAGTACTGCCCTTTTAGTCTCTTTGCCTTAATATCACTAACAATCCTTTTTCATTAAAGTATGGGCTATAGAGAAACACATTTCCCACTGCTACTTAAATGATCCTATCGTTAATGAAAATTCTTAGCCCCTAGAATAATCACCCTACATAAATTTTTTAAACATATACAAAATATAGGTGGGCACAGTGGTCCACGCCTGTAATCCCAGCACTTTGGGAGGCTGAGGCAGGTTGGTTACCTGAGGTCAGGAGTTCGAGACCAGCCTAGCCAACATGGCGAAACCCAGTGTACTAAAAATACAAAAATTGGCTGGGCACAGTGGCTCACCCCTGTAATCCCAGCACTTTGGGAGGCCAAGGGTGTGGATCATTCAAGGTCAGGAGTTTGAGACCAGCCTGGCCAACATGGTGAAACCCCGTCTCTACTAAAAATAGGAAAATTAGCTGGGCGTGGTGGCGGGCGCCTGTAATCCCCGCTCCTAGGGAGGCTACGGCTGGAGAATTGCTTGAACCCAGGAGATGGAGGCTACAGTGAGCCAAGACTGTGCCACTGCATTCCAGCCTGGGCAACAGAGTGAGACTCTGTCTCAAAAAAAATAAAAATACAAAAATTAGCCAGGCATGGTGGCGCGTGCCTGTAATCCCAGCTACTGGGGAGGCTGAGGCAGGAGAATTGCTTGAACCCGGGAGGTGGAGGTTGCAGTGAGCTGAGATCACGCCACTGCACTCCAGCCTGGGTGACAGAGGGAGACTCCATTTCAAAAAATAACGGTGGTTCACGCCTGTAATCCCAGCACTTTGGGAGGCCAAGGGTGTGGATCATTCAAGGTAAATATGAGTAAGAATGAAGGTATTCACTTAACAGGCTATTGAATTTCCTTTGGACAGTTTAAAGATCGGGACAGGTAAGACTGGGGCATTCATTCTAAGCAGTAGCTTTCACTTCTTTATCCATTACCCATGGTACTACAGTGATAAAATATATATATATAATTTATTTTACATCAAAATAAACATATATACCTACCAATATATATGCATATGTAACTAAGTTTTACCAAATAATACTTACTCAAATATGTTTTCTGTTCTTTACAAATTCTTTCCTTTTCATTTTTTTCAACACCAGTCATTGTCATTTAACTGATTTCATGTGAAGAGCAAAAACCCAGTCTGAAAAACACAGGTCTGAGGCAATCTTATCCTGGAATGCCGGGACCGGGGCAGATCCAAACCCTGTGCTTGGGAGTCCTGCCTGTGTCTCAGGAGTCATCTAGAGGAAGGGGAAAGGAAAATACAGACAGACCCAGACCCTGCCCTGGGTAAACCAAAGCTGCTTGGCAATTATCTTG